ATGCCCAAGACTATGTAAGTCGGTGTAAGAATACATTTTCTCTTTCTGTGCTCAGACCTGGTTCCTGATGTCATGAAAGAAGTGAGCAACACCCCCACCCGGCAAAAAAACATAAAAATAATAAAAATAAAAGTCTGATGAAATACTGAGGCAGTGTGGGGGTGCGGATATAAAGAAATTGAAGAATGCCTTAAATAGGCTCAAAAGCACTGAAAGAAAATTAAGTGACTCTGAAGATAGGTCTACAAAAATTATCCAATATGAAATGCAAGAAGAAACGAGTGAGGGTACTGGGAGAAAGAACAGTGAAACTAAGAGGTATGTGACAATATTAAAACATTCTAATATAATGTAATTGGAACCCCAGAAAGGGAAGAGAGACAAAAGAACAGAAAAGAAATTTTAAAACACGGTGACCAAGATTTTTAAAAATTAAAAACATTAAATCACAGATACAAGAATTTTAAGCCTTACCCCATTCCCAAAAGGAAACTAAAATAACTTATGATTCTTCATCCAAAACAAAATAAAGAGAGATAATTTGACAAGCAAAAAAGAAAAGCAATAGATATAAAATACATAGGAAAAAATAGTTAAAGCAGACTTGTCACCAATTATGCAAATAAGTCAACACAGGACATATTTTAAAAGTTTAAAGAAAATCTGTCAATCTAGATTTTTATACCCAAAGAAAGTATGTTTCAAAAGTGAAGTACTTTCAAACAGAAGCTGAGAAAATACATTACCAATAGCCCACCATTATTTTAAATACATAAAAGAAACTCTTCAAACAAAAGTGATATACTACGCACAAACTTGGGGCTACATAAAGAAATAAAGACAAATAAAATAGGCTAAGTTAAAGGTAAGTTAAAAGACACGATGTTTGTTATTTCAAATAGCTCTAAATGATAACTGAACATTTAAAGTAACTAGGGTGCACCTGACCCAATCAAGGTATTTTTCAATCACCTCACATGTACGTGAAAGTTGGAACTTGAACAAAGACTGAAGAAGAATGGGTGCATCTGAACTGTGGTGCTGGTGAAGAGTACTGACGTGTCCCAGACTGCCAAAAGGATAAACAAATATGTCTTCGAACAAGTAAAACCAAAATGCTCCTTAGAAGCAAGGATGGTGAGACATCATCTCATATACTTTGGACATGTTGTCAGGAGAGACTAGTCCAGGCGTCCTCAAACTACAGCCCGTGGGCCACATGCGGCCCGCAGAGGACATTTATCCGGCCTGCCAGGTGTTTTAGCCCCGTTTGTTTATTTACTTCAAAATAAGATATGTGCAGTGTGCATAGGAATTTGTTCATAGTTTTTTTTTTAAACTATAGTCCAGCCCTCCAACAGGTCTGAGGGACAGTGAACTGGCCCCCTGTTTAAAAAGTTTGAGGACCCCTGGACTAGTCCCTAGAGAAGGACATCATGCTTAGGAAAGTGGTGGGGCAGCAGAAAAGAGGAAGGCCTTCAACAAAATGGACTGACCCTGTGGCTGCAACACCGGATCCCAACATAAGAACAATTATGAAGCTGGTGCAAGACCAGGTGGTGTATCTACCATTCTGTTGCACACAGGGCTGCTACTAGTCAGCGCCAACTTGATGGCACCTCACAACAAAGACAAAGCAAAAACAGTAGTAATGCATTATGGGTTTGTAGCATTACAAAAAATCTATCTAAAAATTAGCCCAAAAGAAGTGAAAAAATAATTGAGAGTATACTGCTTCTGTTGTTGTAATATCCTGACTGCACATGAAGTGGTACATGCAGTCCCCATATTACAAATTAGTTCTATTTCCAGGTGTGACTTTATGTGAAATTTGTGCATAAGTCATAATAGTTGGTATAGTTTATGCCTAACATCAGTTAGTCAAATGTTTTAGTATATAGTACAGAAGAGGATTTCAAAAAGTTCATGGAAAACTTGAATCAAAAGAGAATGGAATTTTCCCACAAACTTTAAAAGGCCTGTTATATAGTGTGCCTAAGCATAAAAATTATTAAAGAAACACTTCAAGCTATACTAAAACATCTTTAGCACAATAATACAGTAACAGTAAATGTTTTCATGCATGTCATAAGGTAGTGTCCATTTGTTTTAGTATCATAGTATGTACTTCATTATTTTTAATATAATAGGCTTTCAGGGAATTGGTTCATAACTATTGAATTGTATATAAGTTGGACCTTAAAAAGCCAAAATGTGCCTAGCTGCTATGAGTACAGTACTGAAGATATGCTTATATTAAAGATTACAGCCTAGAAAACCCTATGGGACAGTTCTACTCTCTCACTTATTATGTGTCAAAAATCACCTTGATGGAACCTAACAACAACTACAACAGTATAAAACTGACTGAAGGTAGGCAGAGATTAAGTGAAAATATGCATTCTAAACAAAGGGCAATCACTAAAAATAGTTTACATTATTTTTTAAATTTAAGTCAGTAACCATTTGTCATCAAAACGATTTTGACTTGGTGGTTCTATATGTGTCAGAACAGAACTGGGCTCCATAGGGCTTACAACAGCTGATTTTTCACAAGTTGACCATCTCTTTTCCTAGATGCATCTGGATGGGCTTAAACCTTCAAACTTTCAGTTAGTGGCTGAGCATATATAAGCCTTTCATAGCACCCCAGGGCTCCAAATACATCAACACTAGATAAAATATAGAATTACAGGGGGATAATATGAACAGAAAGGGCAAATAAAAAAGACCAACATAGTAGATTATAATATAATTATATCAATAATTACTTTGATTATACATCATCTACATGTGCACAATAAAAATATAAATAACCTAACGAGTTTGCTATCAAATAAGCTGAATTGTTTTTAAAAACTCCCAATTAAAAAACAAATGTACAAATGTGCTTCACACAATGGATGTATGGATTGTGATAAGCGTAGTATAAGCCCCCGATAAAATAATTTTTTAAAGAAAATAAATAAATAAAATGAAATATAATTAATCTTGAAAAATGTTAACATCACAAACAAAAACAAAAACAAACAAACCTCCCTAGACTTCATTTAGTGGGATGCTACGTAAGGAAGAAAGAAAACCTAAATTATACAACTGTATGGGGTGGGCCAGGGAGATATTTTCTAACTCATTTTAAAATGCCAGCATTACCCTTTACAAAATATACATTCATAACCATATAAAGAGCATTTTTTAGGTCATGAACATAGATACAAATATTTTTCAATAAAATATTAGCAAATCAAATGCAGCAGTATATAAACAGGGAACATACCCCAACTAAGTGAGACTTCATTCTGTTACTTGTAAGCTCACCATAAATTAAAGCCAACCTGGTGACTAACAATAAGAAGTGGCGTTTACTCTGGAAAATACAAGGTTGGTTTGATGAAAACCAACCTATTAATTTTATCCTATCAACAGATTAAATATTGGATTACAACTTAGTAAATACCATAAAAACATTTGATATTCATTATCCATTCATAAAAATACTAAGCAAAATAGGAATAAAAGGGAATTTGTTCAAAATACAGAGGGTTTACAGTGGTGCGCTGTTGGCTAAATGTTATATTGCTGACCGGAAGATTGTTAGTACAATCCCATCAGCTACTCTGCAGGAGAAAAATTATGCTATTTGTTCCTGTAAAGTTTTACAAAGTCTTAAAGCCCTATAGAAAGTCACTATGAGTCTAACTTGCCTTGATGGCAGTAGGTTTTTTTGCTGTTGTTGTTTTGTGCTTTTAAGATTATATTTAAATTTATAAAGAGCTCTTACAAATAATTTAGACCAGCAAATCATTTAATCTATATATATACATATATATATATATACAAATATATGCAAAGAACATAAACAAGCTATTAATCAGTTAACAAAAGAGAAATAATTTGTAACTTCTTCCTTTAGTTGCTCTTTCCCACTCTACAACTCTAACCCTTTATTCATACGAGGAATGAAAAGGAATATATCACACCCGCTTCCCATGACACATAGAACATACAAGTGTATTTACTGCAATAAATTAGAGTAGTAGTTCTCAACCTTCCTAATGCCGCGACTGTTTAATACAGTTCCTCGTGTTGTGGTGACGCCCCCCAACCATAAAATTATTTTCGTTGTTACTTCATAACTGTAATTGTGTTATTGTTATGAATCGGGTGATCCCTGTGAATCGGGTGACACAGGTTGAGAACCGCTGATTTATGGAGGTTGTTAGGTGGTTGTTTTTTTTTAATTTATAGCAAAATAAATTACATTTAATTTCTAGAGGATCAGTTATAATAATTATTTTTGGTCTTATAGAATTATATTAATAACTATTTCAGACTAATCCCTTAACTTTGTCTTACAAGTTTCTAGTTCCCTTTTGTTTGAACCACACAATTAATTGCAACAATAAATTATAACTTTTTCATAGTCTAAGACAGACGTGTCTAATAAAGCTTCTGGAAGATAAACAAAAATTGTTTTGTGAAATATAAAGGAAACTACTGGTGAAATAGTGGGTTATGTACTGGACTGCTAACTACAAGGTCAGAGGTTCAAATCCATCAGCCTCTCTGCAGGAGAAAGATGGCTTTCTACAACAGTTACAGTCTTAGAAACCCACAGGGGGAGTTCTAAACTGTCCTATAGGGTAGCTGAGTCGGAATTGATGTTCTAGTACTTCAAAGCGGAATTCGGCTCACAAATGTGTATTACAGAAACTCAAATTATATCCCTAACGCAGTGCTGGAGATGGAGTCCCAGAACAAAGGAGACATGGTGTAAATAAAGATAAGTTGGGAGATAGAAAAGTTTATGTTTATTGAAATTCTCAAAATGAAAACAATCACCATTCTTACCTGAAATATCAAGTTCTTTCAGCAATACTTTAGATCAGTTGAGAATGAATCAATTTAGAAAAAACAATATTCTACTATGAAAATTTGTCATTTTGTTAAATTTCTTTCTTTATCCTCCCCTCCTCAAAATGTTAGTTGATTTTGCTCACCTCCTCTTCTGAAAGGTAATACGCTGCAAGCAGGCCTCCAATAAATCGAATGTTGACTTCAAACACGGATACTTCAGAATTCTGTGAAAACAGATACATAGTACTTTATATTTCCCATCTTTCATTTGTTTCTTCTAAAATCCTTATAGAAAAGGGTTTTTTTGCTTTTTCTCACCACTTTCTGCACCTTTTTACTTCATCAAGTGCAATCTCACCAACTACTTGTCAGCAATCCTGCAATTCCTCTACTACTGTCACCAAAATGTCTTAGTTGTCAAAAATTAATGGATCATTCTCAAATACCTAGCAATATACTATGATTTTATCTAGATAGTTTACCCTGTTGACTATTTCTGGAAGTCTGAAATGCCACTATCTCCACGGGTTCCTTTCCTTCTCTTCTAATAACTACATAAGTTTCCATTTTTACTTCTCTCTCCCTCCTGAGTTAAATTTTCTCACGTATATATAAATAAATAACCTAATAAATATTAAAGAGGTTCCACAAAGCCTTACTGGGGGAGGGGGGGGGGCGGGGAGGAGGAGGGGACGACATAAAATTATCTAAAAAGCAACACAAAAAGAATGAAGTGAATCAAAATGGTTTCCATTAAAGTTGACAGTATTAGAAATGAGAAACAAAGACTTAAGACACATGTAAACAAGTAACAAAAAAGCTGCAGTAATTGCCGTTAATGAAAATGGATGAAATGCTTTAACCAAAAAGCAGAAAGTGATAAACTGGAGTAATAAAGCATAATCTAACCATGTCAAAGACATATAGAGGTGTGATGGCAAATTTTGTTTGTGTCTACTTGGCTAGGTTATGATACCTAGTGGCTTGGCAAAACACTAAACTAGTTGATGTTCCATAATACTACCTAATGCGATCACCTTCCATAATGTAATCAACAGAAACAAAATCCATCAGTAAGTTGAAATGGGTGCTTCCTAAAGGTGCTTTCTACCTCTAGACCAGGGCTGCCACACTGGCTTGAGTGCTATACACAGTTCTTTCAGTAAGTACATGTGGCTCTGAAGTAAAATTGAAAAATTTTAAATGATATTGGTCACATAGTGGTGATTCCATCTGTCTGTAAAAATATTTTATGGATGTCAAATAATTTTTTAATTGCTGTAAAGAACTGGATTGGCTCCTCTGTCTCAAAAATTTGCTGAACCCTGCTCTTGACTATAGCTAACTTATATTAAGTAGCAGAATTCACTTTCTCCACTCTGCACTCTATCACCTGCCTGATTTCTGTTGAGATACAAGATACAAGTCTGTAGAAGGCTCTAGCTGTTACCTGCCAGCTTCCTCAATTGTGTGAGCCAATTCCATGAAGTAAGCTCTTTCTCACTCCTCAACCCTCTATGTATGATGATATAATAAGTGATAGCATAGTGGGGCTTGAGTTACATAGATACACAGTAGTCTTATCTGTGGGGATACATTCTAAGACCCCTAGTGGACGCCTGGAACTGTGGATAGTACCCAATCTTACACATTCTACATTTTTTTCCTATACATGCACATGGCTCCCATGTGTCTCAGGTGGGCAGCATTAACCGGCCAAACTTCAGCAGGGTTTGGTGCATCTGCTCATCTACATGTCTTTGGCAGGTTTGTACCCAGCACAGGAAAAGGAAACCAGCTCCAAGATGAAACGAGATGGCACAAGACTGCATCACACTGGTCAAAACGGTGCCCAAATTAAATATTTTGGGACTACAGTTATTTCTCCACAGAACCCTAAGAAAGGTTGATAATGGAAAGTATTCTATGCAAAATAACAGTCAAAAAAGAGATGTGATGATGTTTTTAATATCAGGAAAAATAAGCATTAAGTCAAAATCTTAATAGAGATAAAGAAGGTCATTATACAGAGAACTCCTGTCCCATCTCCATATAATGATAAAAGGGCTAACTCATTAAAGTTTGTGGGAAAATTTCATTCTCTTCTCATAATTTTTTCCAAACTACCTCATTTTGTTGATATCAATACTACCCAAAACTAACTACAGACGCTGTACAATCCCAACCAAAATCCCAAGAGCTTTTCATAGAAATAAAAAAGTTAAGCCTAAACCAGTATGGAACTGCAAAGGATCTCAAATAGCCAAAGTAGTCTGAAAGAGTTAAAAAAAAAAAGGCAGGGGGGAGAGGGGGGAAGAACGACAGGCAATGAATACACGTACTTCCTCATCTTAAGACATACTATAAAGTTACAGTAACCAAATATGGTATATCATGCTATACACCCAAACCATTAAACAGAATTGAAAGTCCAAAAATAAATCTATGGTCTATTTGTGTCTTACAAAGAGGATAACCCCATTCCATGGGGAAAGAAGAGTTTCTTTAATAAATGCAGGAGGGAAAATTGGATTTTTCACATGAACCTTGAGCCATTCCTCACACCGCATAGAAGAATGAACTCAAAGGGACTACATGTCAGAACTAAAACTGTAAAATTCTTAGAAGAAACATTCTGGTTGTGATTTAAGATCTTATTTATAACAAAGTATTCTTACACCTGATTCTGAAAACATGAGCAACAGCAACAACACCAAAAAGTAGATAAATATGCCCCTATCACAATAATAACCTTCTGTTCATCAAAGCACTCTCAACAAAGTTCAGACAGTGAGTTAGTTAATTGTGCCAACCTGGCCGATAATCACATGTGGGGCTAATTGAAAGGCGGAGGGATAATCACATGTGGGGCCGATAATCACATGTGGGGCTAATTGAAAGGCGGAGGGATAAATGGGTGGTGAGCCTCGCTTTCTAGTTCTAGTTCTCGGGTCTCTTGTTTTGTGATGGTTGCACTGGGTGCAGCTGCCTTAGCAGTTCCCTGCTCCAGCTTGCAAGACTGACTTCCTACAAGACATCCCCAAGGAGAAGCTACATGGACCTAACCCGATGCAGCCCTGGGTGCTGGAGCAGCCGTGTGGAGACCTCTGCTAGTGCTGAGATGCTTGTTCGTTCATTGACTCAGCTTTCCTCCTGCAGTCGGCATCATTGCCTCTGTTTTGTGAGGTGGAGGACTTTGTGGACTGGTGTTGGGTTAATGGGTTAATGTTGGACTTGTGGGCTTGGGCAGCATTGGGTTGGGATGTTTTCGTGATGCACATTTTCTTTACATAAAACTCTCTCTTTAAAAAAAACAAAACAACTCTCTCATACATGAGTTGCTGTGGATCTGTTTCTCCAAAGTACCCAGACTAATGCAGACAGGATCCTATTTAAAAAAAAAAAAAAAAAGGAATTCTGTTCATCAAAACACTTTCAACAAAGTGAAGGGGCATCCCTGCAAAGTGGAAAAAGCAGTATTTAGGACACATGTATCTGTCAAGGACTTACTATCTAGAAAATATGAAAACTAAAAAAATCACAAGGTACAACGAAATCAAAAAATAGGAAAAGGACTTGAATAGACATTTCAACACAGAATAAGTACAAATGGCCATAAAGCACATGACAAAGTGTTTGACACCATTAGTCATTAGAAAAATTAAAATCACAATGGGGTAGCATTTCATCCCCACTAAGATGGCCATGATACAAAAAATAGGAAACAACAAGTGTTAGCAATGATGTAGGGAAATGAAATCCTTATGTATAAATGATAATATTGTAAATGGTACAGCCACTGTGGAAATGTTTGTGGTTGCTCAAAAAATTAAGCATAAAATTACCATACGATCCAGAAATTCCACTTCCAGGTATTTATACAAAAGAAAGCAGAAACAGAAACTTCTACTTCAGTGTCCATGGCAAAACTGTTCACGACAGCGCAAAGGCACGCTAATTATCCATACACAAATGAATGGATGAATACATAGACTGCAGCACATGCCAAATCACTGTCTTGGAGTCCGTTCTGACCCATAGGAACACTATGAGACAGAGGAGTACTACTCTATGGGTTTCTAAGCCTATATGTATTTATCAACGCAGACTGCCTCATCTTTCTCCTACAGAGTTGCTCATGAGTTTGAACTGCTGACATTTTGGCTAATAAGCCAAGCGCCAACTTTTTTGTTGGTAGGTCAATGGTAGTAGTACATACACACATTAAAAAAAGAGAAAGACATGACATTCTGATACAGCCTATATTATAGATGAACCTTGAAAGCCTTATGCTGAGTGAAATAAGTCAAACCCAAAAGGTCCAATATTGTATGATCCCTCTTACATGAATTATCTAAAAGAGGCAAAAGTAAAAGAGCAAGAGTCATTATCAGTGGCCGCGGTGGGAAAGGAGGGTGAAGGGGAGCCTTTGCTGAGGAGACACTGAGCTGAGTTAAGAGTTGTTGGAAAAATTTGGGACTAGATTGCAGTGATGACTGAAAAACACATAAATGTACATAAAAACGCTTATATGGCAAATACTGTTATATATGATGAGAGGTCAAAAGGTACTGCTACAACAATCATAGAAACCATTATTAAATAAAAATTTCAAAATTTGAAGCTATTGTTTCTCAACATATCCTGCATCTAGGTATATGTGATACTGACGGTAGCGTTTTTCTACCTAAACCTGATCATAAAAGTTCTGTGCTATTCAGTTCCAATCATGTCAGTTTGGGCATCCTTGAGGGGCTCAAATCATGCCTCTTGGAAATATACTTTGAACTATAGGTAAAAAAAAAAAAATCTGAGGGGGCAAGATCAGATTATGATCATACAGAATATGGGGTAAGGTTTATCAGCAAAAATTCTCCTAGAACAGCCCTGGTTTCCCTCAAATAATGATCAGGGACATAGTCATGCTGCCAGAAAGTTCTATGGTACAACGTTCTGGCCTTTTTCCAACTAAGCCAGTTTTCCATTTTCTTAAAACTTTGTCACCAAGGCTGCTTCTCTTGGCTTAATAGTGCCATTAGAAAAATATGTTACTGACACAAAAGGTACTCAAACCAAAACTTTGGTGATCTCTGATCTAAAAAGGAAAAAAAAAATGTAAGCAAATTAGCATAAGTATTTTTCAAGCTGATAATACAGAGTAACACAAATCTGTACAACATAGCAAAATTTTTGGTTATCACCATTGCTATTTCAATTATTTTAA